AGCTCCTGTTATTGTAAAAATTGTTTCTCTTATCCCTATAATTGGTGCTGTCTCTACTTCTGCTGTAGCTTTGACACAAGAAGTCCAAACGGCTAAATTTGTAAATGGGTTAATGCATAATGTGATAAAAATTTAGGTAAAGCAAGAGAATGTACAATCAATCTATTATGGCCAAAAAGTTAAAGAGACGCAGTCAAGGACCAGTCACCCTTTTAGGGGTTCGTTGCCAATGACGGGATTAACATGCCTCCTTCATTTCACTCCCAGTTTACCAATCTAAGACAGGAACAGGGCCAAAGCCGCCCTGCCTTCCAGTGACAGGTAAGAAACCTATGTAAAAAAAGTATGCTAAAGCATGTAGCCTAAGACAGGCGTAACTCACCTAAAGCCTTTATAAACTAAAGAAGGGGGACTCTGTAGGAAGCCATCCTGAGCAGGTAGGAAGCCATCCTGAGCAGGTCTTAGCTCTGCCATGCACAACTCTATTTTGTCTGTGGACATCATTCCCTATATTCACTTCTGACATGCAGCGAGCTGAGCTCAGCCTAAGGCCACTCCACCCATCTCTGGGAATACATTTACCTCACTAAATCAGTACCTGTAATTCAATGCCTTGGGGCATGCTCCTCCCTCTCTATTGTAAACTGATAGCCTAGGGCTGGGTTTCTGTGGCAGCCTGGCCTACACAGTTGCCTATTTATTGCCGTGAGTTTCTTTAATAAATGGGATCTTGATCAGAATCTGTCTTGCCTCCGTTCTTCTGTGTCGCTTGTACCCCCCAATTCGCACTCCTTCTCTTTATAACACGTTCTAACCTGCAGGGTCGGATTCAGACGTCACCCAACTAAAACACAATCTACTTTCTTTTTAACTGGATGTAGCACATCCTCCAGGATTGATCATATACTAGGACACAAAGTGACCTCAGCAAATTCAAAAACACTGATAAACTTTTCTCAGACCATAATGTCATAAGACTATTAATTAACACAAAGATAATGGATATCTTACAGCTCTGGAAAACTGATAGCTGTTTGATAACATCTAAAAGGTTTTCAGAACAGTTCAGAGACTGTGGTATTTAAAATGGAAAGACACAGGACAGGAGTTCAAGATATTACTTCTAAAGTTTGGGAAGACGGATAAAAAAATGCAATAGTAAAAGAGCTGAAGAGTGTATGAGTAATAGCAAGTTGGTAAGAGGTGTCTAATGTTAAGTAATCTTTAAATGTACTTTAAAACAATGCATACATTAGTGGAAAATCTGTAATGTGTGTAACATAAGAGATATTGCTTTGCCATATTTCTTAAAAACTGGTTATTATCTTTCAGTTTCAAAAATAACCCCTTTCCAGTAGACATTAAATCAGAGAAGAAGGCATTGATTTTAATAGTTATTCTTTAACAATATCTCTAGATAATTAAAATATACCCCAAAAAGAACATAAAGTGTCTCTATCATCCCAGAGAGCTTATTACCAAAAGAAAACAGGGCAGAACTTACCATAACATGTAGGTGTATCAGACCAACCATCAATATCACACACTATAGAGCCTGTGGTATTTCCAGCTCTGTTTTCATAGCCATCACTGCATTCATATTCCAGTTTGTCATTGAGCTTATACCATGTGGC